GATATATTCAGGGATTTGATGGGGGAGGGGACTATTTCAGAACCTGACTTCGAGGATGCTCGTGCTAAGGAGCGTAAAGCTCAGTTTGCTTGCGGCTATGATCCCGCTACACCGAAAGCCGACGACGATGAGGAGGATGTGAGCATGGATCGGATTAAACAGGTTGCCTGGTACGATGATGAATATCCCACTAGCGATGGCGATAGCAAGGAGGTAGGTGGAGATGATCTGGGCTATCAAGCTGGTGGTGCTGCTGGTCCAGGCAGTGATTAGTTGTTCTTCTTTTATGTTTAGCCGCAGACTTGTGTGTACTTTTTGTAGGCGTGTATTCGAGCCTTTGTAAAAAATATTCTAAGTATGAAGTGTTAGTTTTGTTATTCGTACCTGATTCCTTTTCTTTGTTCGGGTTTGTGCACTTTTTTGATTTTGTTGCTTGGTTGACTTTGTCATAATAAATTTTTTTGAGTAGATTGAACGAGGTTGAAACGAAGCCTAGGTTTGATTGCGGCCGAGGGCAAGTAGGTGTTGGTTCGAGGTCGAACATGTCACATATTTAGTTAAGGCCGTGGGCCGATTAGGTGTTAATTCGAATGAGGTCAAATGTAACTTTCATTTAGTTAAGTTCGTGGGCCGATTAAGTGTTAATTCGAACGAGGTTGAATGAAACCTTTATTTAGTTGAGGCCGTGGGCCAAGTAGGTGTTAATTCGAACGAGGTCGAATGTAATCTTTAATTAGTTGAGGCTATGGGCCACGTAGGTGTAAATTCGAACGAGGTCGAATGTAACCTTGATTTAGTTGAGGTCGTGGGCCGAGTAGGTGTAAATTCGAACGAGGTCGAATGTAACCTTTATTTAGTTGAGGCTGTGGGCCGAGTAGGTGTATATTCAAACGAGGTCGAATGTAACCTTCATTTAGGTGAGGTCGTGGGCTGAGCAGGTGTAAGTTCAAACGAGGTCGAATGTAACCTTCATTTAGTTGAGGTCGTGGGCCGAGTAGGTGTAAATTCAAACGAGGTCGAATGTAACCTTCGTTTAGTTGAGGTCATGTGCCGAGTAGGTGTAAATTCGAACAAGGTCGAATGTAGCCTTCATTTAATTTAGGCCGTGGGCCGAGTAGGTGTAAATTCGAACAAGGTCGAATGTAGCCTTCATTTAATTTAGGCCGTGGGCCGAGTAGGTATAAATTCGAACGAGGCCGAATGTAACCTTTGCTTGGGGAGAGCGGAAATAAACTTCATGTACTTGTGCTTTGTTCATATTCTTGGAGAGATTTACATATTTTTCGGGCATTGGCTGGTAGTTCAGTCCCAGTCCCGGTCTATCTAGTCCCTTTATTGGTCGAACTGGAAAAATAGTGAGAGATCGAGTAATGAACTAGTCGTCCAGTGTCTTCGTCTGTGCGAACTTCAATCCTGAAGTATCCCCGTCATCGCCTCATTAAAAACCTCCTCGAGAAAACCCAATTGGGACAAAACTCGAGTGAGGGAAAAAGAGTGCGACTTTGGGGACCTCATCCTTTAAAAGTTAAAGTACTTGAGGTGTGTAATGTTCCAGTTGTTTAGTAATCGCTTTCCTTCCATTGTTTCTAGTGTGAATGACCCTTTGCTTGTAGCTGCCATGATTTTGTAGGGGTCATCCTAGTTTGTTCCTAGTTTGCCTTCCCGTGGATCTTTGCTTGCTTGTGTTTTAGCTTTAAGCACGTAGTCCCCGAATTTAAGTAACCTGATCTTTGCTCTTTTGTTATAGTGGCGTTCTGCTTGTTGCTTTTGGGAGACCATTCTCACGTAGGCCATATCTCTTTGTTCCCCGACTTCATCGAGTTCCTGTCTTCCATTGTCATCGTTTTGGGGTCCTCTTTCACGGAAGTATCTTAGGCTGAGCTCCCCGACCTCGACTGGTATTACTGCATCAGTCCAATAGACAAACGAGTATGGCATTTCCCCTGTGCTCGTTTTTGGCATTGTTCGGTAGGCCCAGATTACTTCTGGTAATATTTCCAGCCACAGTCCCTTGGCGTCTTCGAGCTTCTTCTTTATGATGTTCAGTATTGACTTGTAGGAGGACTCCGCTTTCCCGTTGCCCGCGGAGTGGTAAGGCGTAGACAATATTCTTTTGATGTGCCATTTTTCAAAAAGGTCGGCGACCTTTTTTCCTGCAAATTGAGGTTCGTTGTTGTAGCTGATTTCTTTGGGGAGACCGAAATGGAATATGATGTTTTTCCATATGAAGGAAATCACTTCATGTTCGTGTATTTGGGCGAATGCTCCTGCTTCTACCCATTTAAAGAAGTAGTTAGTGAAAAGCAAGAGAAATCGTACGTTACCTCATTCTGCCGGGAGGGGGCCCACGATGTCCATTCCCCCATTTGATGATCGACCAAGGAGAAGTTACTGAGTGTAGGTGTTCGCCTTCTTGGTGGATCATTGGGTCGTACTTCTGGCATTGCTCACATTTTTCACGAATTTGCGACCTCATTTTTCATGGTGGGCCAGTAATACCCCGCTCATATGAGGCACCTGACCAAAGCTCGATTGCCGTAGTGAGCTCCATAGTGGCCTTTGTGTACTTCAAGGATGCGCCGCATCTGATTTGGGCCTAAGCATTTCTCCAGAGGGCCGCCATATGTCTTTTTGTACAGGTCGTTGTGAACGATGTTGTATCTGGCCGCTGTCATTCGCCGCTTCTTGGCCTCTTTTTTATCGTTGGGGAGTATGCCATCCTGCAAATATGTAATAATATGGTTTTGCCAGTCCCAAGTCAGGTTTATGGTTCTTACATCGATTTGGTCTATCGACGAGTTGAGGAGGTCGATTATATTTTGGTCTCCGGTTGTAATGTTTTTGGTGGCTGCTGCTAATTTGGCGAGGCCGTCCACTTCGATATTCTGTGCTCGGGAAATCTGGTCGAGCTGACATTCGTCGAACTCGGGTAGTAGTTTGCAGATTTTGGTTTGTTATTTTTGGAACCTCTGCTCCTTGATTTGGAAAGTCCCTATGACTTGGTTGACCACGAGCTGAGAATTGCAGCGCAACCTTAGCCGATATGCCCCGTATTTGAGTGATAGTATTAATCCTGCAATTACGGCCTCATACTCGGCTTCGTTGTTAGTCATGTCTGGGCACCTTATGGACTGGCGAATCGCTTCGCCTGTTGGAACTTCGAGTAGGAATCCCAGCCCGGACCCCGACGTATTAAATGTGTCGTCGGTGTGCAGGACCCAGAGGTCTTGTTTTGGGGAAGAAGCGTGGGCGGCTTCCTTTTCGACTTCGGGCATTATTTGCGCATTGAGGTCAGCGAGGTCCTGTGACTTTATCGTCATTCGCGGTCGATAGGTAATATCGTGCTCACTTAGTTCGATGGCCCATTTGGCCAATCTGCCTGATATTTCAAGTTTGTGTAAAATGCTTCTTAAGGGGAAAGTTGTGACGACCGAGATGGGATGGCATTGGAAATACGGTCTAAGCTTTCGTGAATCTACGACTAAGGCCAGAGCCAGTTTTTCAAGATGGGGGTACTTGGTCTCGGCGTCGACTAGTGTCTTGCTAATGTAATAAATGGGAGATTGCATACCTTTATTTTCTTGGACTAAGACTGCGCTCACAACTACTTCGGATACGGCAAGATAGACGAGGAAGGGTTGTCCTGGTTCCGGTTTTGAGAGCAATGGTGGCGAGGACAAGTACACCTTTAACTTCTTCAGGGCTTGGATGCATTCAGGGGTCCATTGGAGGTTGTTCTCCTTTTTTAGTACGCTGAAGAACTTGTGGCATCTATCGGAGGATCGTGAGATGAACCTCGAAAGGGCGACGATACGGCCAATCAGCTTCTTGACCTGCTTTTTGGTGGTCAAGTGCTCTGGTTTCCCGTCGATGGCCTTGATTTTGTCGGGGTTGACCTCAATACCCCGCTGCGACACTAGGAAACCCGAGAATTTCCCTGAGGCCACGCCAAATGCACATTTTTCGGGGTTCAGTTTCATGTCGTATTGCCTGAGTTTGCCGAAGGCTTCTCTTAAGTGTTCGATGTGATCTTCTTTCCTTTCAGATTTGACCAGTATGTCGTTGATGTATACCTCCATTATTTTTTCGAGTTGTTCTTTGAACATCTTCGTCACCAGCCTTTAGTAAGTTGCCCCCGCATTTTTCGATCCGAAAGGCATGACCCTGTAGCAGTATGTCCCCTGGTGGGTGATGAGGGCGGTCTTTTCCTGGTCTTCTTCCTCCATAAGGAACTGGTTGTAGCCCGAGTAGGCATCCAAGAAATTTAGCAACTCGTGCCCGGCTGTCGCGTTAATGAGCTGGTCGATATAGGGTAATAGGAATGAATCCTCGGGGCAAACTTTGTTCAGGTCGTTGAAATCTACACATATCCGCCACTTGCCATTCTTCTTTTTCACCATGACCACGTTGGCGACCCATTGGGGGTACTTCGACTCCCTGATGGAACCATTTTACAATAATTTTTCCATTTCTTCGCGCACTGCATCATTGATTGCGGAGTTGAACTTACGTCGAACTTGCTTCACCAGGGGTAGAGTGGATCGACGTTTAATTTGTGTGTGGCGATCTCCTTTGAGATACCTGGCATATCTGCATGGCTAAAAGCAAACAAGTCCACGTTAACAGTTAAAAATTCACGAAACTTACTCGGTTCTTGAAGTTTGTAGCCGATGTGAGCTTTCTTGTTGTGGTCGTTGCCGTCTAATTGGATGGGGTCGAGGTCCTCTATGGTCGATCCTGCGGTCTCGATCGAGTCGGGATCTTTGATGACGTCTTTGTTGTCATCGCTTACCGACCATGACCCTGTTGATTGCTATGCCTCTCTCTCTCTCTCTCTCTTAATTGTTGGGTGGTCGTGCAGTCCAGGGCGATGCGATAGCACTCTTGGGATGTGCGTTGTTCCCCACATATGCTGAATATGCCCCAAGGAGTTGGGAATTTGATGACCTGGTATAATCTGGAGGGTATAGCTCTCATGGTGTGTATCCATGGTCGCCCAATTATGATGTTGTATGACGTGTCCTGGTCCATGATGTGGAATGTGGTCTCCAGAGTGACGCCACCCGTAGGACGGGGAGTGTGATCTCTCCAGATGTTCGTTCAACTGCATTGTTAAAGCCTATTAGTGCGATGCAGCATGGTACTATCTTGTCCTTGAGTTTCATTTGTGTGAGTACTCGAGGATGGATAATACCTGTGCCGCTCCCATCATCTACCATAATTCGTCTTACGTCGGTATCTAAAATTTGTAAAGTAATAACGAGAGCGTCATAGTGAGGGAATGCCAAACCGTTGGTAACTGACTTATCGAAGATGATACTTTCTTCGAGTTCGTTATACCGTTTGTGGGTGATCGGCCGTTTGAGCTTGTGGGTTATGGTGAACTTGATGTTGTTGATGGAAGCATTGTCCCCACCACCGATGATCATGTAGATGGTACGGGCCGGTGATGGCGGCTTCAGCGGCCCTTGATGTGTCCCTAATCGCTCAGCAATTCTTTGAGGTGTCCCTGTCACAGCATGTTTACGACCTCCTGTCTTAGGGCGATGTAATCTTTGATTTTGTGTCCTCGCTCTTGATGGAACTCACAGAGGGCGTCTGATTTTCTAGTATTCGGATCCGACCTCATCTTTTGTGGCCACTTCACCTTTGGTCCGAGCTTCTCCAAGGTGTAGACGATCTCTGTAGGTGACACACAAAAATTATGAGCAGATAGTAAAGGGGGTATACCTCTCTCATTCCGGTGAGTCCCTGTTCTTGACCGGGGTGGGCCTTCTTCATGGCGAGATGAGGATACAACGGTAGTTCTGACATATGGGAGATGTCGTTCCTGGTTTGGCCGTGAGGCCACTGGATCTCTTCTGATATCACTTCTCCGATCTTTTCTGGATTCTGCTTGTACTGAGGTCAGTCGATGAGTCGGCCCATTGAGGTCGTCTTTGCCTGCTCGGACTTCGGCACAGTACGCATTATGTATTTCGTCCCAAGTTGTTGGGGGATATTTCATAAGCCGACTTAATAATTTTCTTGTTGCCCTTGAACCATTCATGTTCAGCCCGTTTTGAAAAGCGGCTACGCCATTCCTTCTGATACATTGGGCAAAGTCATTCTTACTCGGTTGAAACGGGCGAGGAAGTCCTTCAATCCTTTTCCCGGGGACTGTTTGATAGCAAAGCTACCATTCACTCTTACCTCGGCCTTCTTGGCCCCGGCATGGGCCGTCATGAACTTACCGGAGATTTCCTCAAAGGTTTCGATGGAATGAGTTGGAAGTTGCGAGTACCAGGTTAATGCACCTCCTGTGAGGGTTTCGCCGAATTTCTTTAGTAGAATGGAGGATACTTGTTCTTTGGCGAGGTCATTGCCTTTCATGGTGGTGACATAATGGGTCATGTGATCCTCGAGGTCGGTCGTGCCATCGTATATTTTTGGATAAGGTGGCATTTTAAAGGTCTTTAGTATGGCATGTGAGGCAGCGCTATCACTGTACGGCTGCTCGAAGAACCGACTGACATCTCTCTTCGGCAATAACTTAGGAGCGCCTAGTATTTTATCGACCCTTTCTTGGTGCTCTCTCATTTGATCCCGAAGTGTCTTGTTCTCGTTTTCCATTTCCTCCATCCTCTTCAAAATGGCTGTGAGAGCATCGTCGCCTGCATTGTTAACAACACTGTGAGTAATACTTGTCGTCATGGGTGGAGGAGGCTGATCATGTTGCTCGTCCACTAGTGGTGCAGCACAAGTTCTCGCCTTTACTGCACCCGCGTCCTGAACGGGCTTATGGAGGACGCTGGTTAGTGTATCAGTTAGCCAAGCCTCAAGGAACTTTTTTATCGCTGGTGGTGTCTCCTCTCCCACGAATGTGAAGGCTATCTTGCCATGGGGTTTGTGATGCTGCAGTGGGGAGGGGGTGACCCCCCTCGCCCAGAAGAGGCATTAGGCATTGTGTCCTCGTCAACTGCTTCAGAGCTTTCGTGGATGATGTCCATGAGGTTAGTTGGGAGGTCACTCATTATTCTCCTTCTTTATTCTTTGTTACCTGTCATTTTAGATCTATGCCTACAAAGAGAAGAAGGTTCTTCTTATTTTTTTTTTTTGCATCAGTAACCAGTGTCGGTTGTAGATCTAGAAGAAACTAAAAGACTTAGCTAGAAAATCCCCACAGACGGCGTCAAATTGTTTGACCAAAAAGTATAACTTCTGGTTAAATTATTAAATTTATGTCATAATGGGTTAAATCTAGTCAAGGATAATAACTCTAGACACTAATCTCGAAAATGTACAGTAGATGAGACAGATCCCGTAAATGGTTGATGACAATAAGTGCAAAATATTCTTAAAGCATGAACATTAATGGAGATTTAACTAACAATAAATGGCATTTAATTAAATAAGGAGAAAGATTCACCCAATAATGGATGGGTTGAATGAATATTTCTCCTTGCAATGATGAATGACAGATGGGTTCAAGATTAGTATGAACAATCCTCGGATCTGGTAGAAAGGTGGGGAATAATATGAACAAGAATCTTTATCAAAAAGTAGTCTTTGTATTTTTGCAAGAGAGAAAGTCTTCTTCTCAAAAAGTGTTCTTATCAAAATAAATATTACATACCCCTATCATTGTCTCTTTTTTCTCTATATATATGGGGCATTTTCCTAGGAAACCCTAATAATACAAAAATGAAGGGAATATTTACTAGAATATTCCCTTTTAATATCCTATCCTGACAAAGTAGTTGTTACAAGTCTTATCATCAGTAGTACCTCGACCCTTGTCGACTATGACTTCTGTCGCCATCTCGATTACGGCTTATGTCGGCACCTCGGCCAATGACTTCGCTGCATCTTGGGCGAGCTCGACCGACTCTTTTCTTAATGCCATATTACGCTAAATTTTCTAAAGACGGATTTTGGCCTATACAAGGACATCATCAGAACTTACACAAATGACCAATTTAGTTATGTTAATTAAATCATTATGTATTATAGTTTAAAGGTATCTGATGTGATGGTATCTTACCGAACACTTCCTTGTAGACGATATTTTTTTGTGTATGTTTCCTTCTAATGCTTTGATTGTTCTGCCATAACCAGAACTCTTATTGTCGATATTAATATCCCTCTTGAAAGTGCAATATATAGTTATTCGTGCAAAAAAATATATTGTTGTAAATGTAGTCCAATAGTTAAGCGTAGATTTTGGAACTACTGATAGTACTTGCCAGGAATCACCTCCTAGACTATTACTTTTTCACAAAACTGTTCATTGATATCTAATATATCTCTAAAACTCTAGGCAATTGTTTCGATCCTTTGACACTTAGCCATAAATACTTCATCCCATATTATCAATTTAGCTTTCCTTATAAATTTAGCACTATTTCTCTGCTTTGATATGTTTGTGATGGGCATTTCACTTGTTTGAAGAGGTATATTAAAGCTAAAGTGAGTTGTATGACCTCATAATAAAATTGCTGATGATACACTAATTGTTATTACTGCTAACAGTATCATGCATCTTGATCTGACATTTGCAAGTAATGCATGACAAAGGAATATTATTTCGATTCCAGTGGAGGCATCTACAAAGGAGAATCCCGCTATACCAGAATCGACTCTTTATAATATAGTCTTGAGAGTCTGTTCTTTTTCAGGATTTAGCTTTGATTGTGCTTCTTCAGACACTTAATACTATATTAATTTTTTTTACTTTGTTATCTAATTTTTTAAATCTCTAACGCTCTTTTTATGGAATAAATTTATGTAACCTAAGATTTTTATTTTTAACTTAAAAAATAATTTTTGTCATATGATGAATTTAAAAAATAATTGAATTGAATTCTGTTGCTAAATAATTAATTGAAAGATTTGGTTATTTGGTCTTAACATAAAAAATAATCGGTTGATTCAGATTCTTAATATTAGTTCATCTCTGGTTTTGAATATTTAATCGTAATTATAATTTTATCCACCATAAATGTAATTTCAAAGAGTAAAAAGATCAATCTGACATTTCACTTTTAGATATTTTTGCAAAATTATTAGTGGTATTAATTCTTAGTTGTTCTTTAGTAATTGCGTATATTTTTCAATATTACACGAAAAATTAATAATAATAAAATATTTTGAGTAGGAAAGCAGTTCAAATATAACATAAAAAGGAAATTTTACCTCATATAGCAAAGGTATACACCCTATTTATTATAAACCAAAATTATTTTAAAATATTATTTTCTATAGCTACCTTTTATATTTTATAGCAAAATAAGTATTTTATGGTATATACTACCATTAAGGCATGAAATAAGGCATGAAATATACTATTTATGTTTTTTCTCTCTCTTAGACAGCTGGACATACCTATTTTTTAGGGATTACCGTTACTGTATTCATGAATACATGGCGCGAATAAATGTGAATACATGTGCGTACAGCTGTATTCATGAATACAACATCGCGAATACAAGCGCGTACAGCTGGACTGCCCTGGTTTTAGACGCTTTTTGCTACTATATTCATGAATACATGGCGCGAATACATGTGAATACATGCGCGTACAGCTGGACTGCCCTGGTTTTAGACGCTTTTTGCTACTATATTCATGAATACATGGCGCGAATACATGTGAATACATGCGCGTACAGCTGGACTACCCTGATTTTAGGCTCTTTTTACTGATGTATTCATGAATATAGCAGCGCGAATACATGTGCGTATAGTTGGACTGCCCTGATTTTAGGTGCTTTTTACTGTTGTATTAATGAATACATGACGCGAATACATGTGAATACATGCACGTACAGCTGGATTGCCTTGATTTTAGGTACTTTTGCTGCTATATTCATGAATACAGCAGTGCGAATACATGTGAATACACTACCGTAACAACTTAATAGTAGCTATAGGAAGTAACTATGTATATGGTAGCTATAGGAAGTTAATAGGTGATTTTCTGAAAATTATCGTGGGGATTCCC